CGTGGTGCTGGAGCTGAGTTGCTTACATGCCGTCCAAACTGTGTTGTCTGACAAAGGCGCAATGCCTCTGCTACAAATTTATCAGTGCTGGAAACTGACTGCATTCTCGAGGCTGGTAGCAGAGCATATGAAGCACGTCAGAGTGAATGTTCAATGACTAAACTCAGCTTCTCTCTATATGTGTCCCAGCATGTTTGCTCTATTATTCTACCATCCATACAGTGAGGATTGTGCCCCTGGTGGTGACTCCTAGGGTCACAAAAGTCTGGTACCGCAAATACCGCAACGCTTATATTTTTTCAAACAGTTGTGAAATATTGTTGGTTATACTCTCTTTCTGTATCTGGTGTATGTACTTGCTCCTCTATTATACCATATACACACAGTGAGGATTGTGCCTCTTTTCTCCTGTCGAATTTCTTAACTGTTTCTCTGGTGGTAATTAGCAGAATTACAAGCCTGTGACTTGACTTTCTTATTTATTTATTTTTCTTTGAGTGAATGTGCATCATAGAACTACGAATTGATGTATTTCATTTGTTGATATTAAACAGAATGCCATGTCGTTCAGCCTAATCCGGCAGGACGATGAGGAAACATGTTGTTGGACATCCTCGCCTCCGCGTCGTCTCCCGCGAGGCGGCCGGAGGCCAACCCCATCCCTAGCCGCCGCTCCCTCCTCCCCCCTCCTCCTCCCTCGCCGCCGCCCAGGGGCGCGGCCGGGCGAAGCCCAGCTGCTGCCGCCGGCGGCGGGGCCCCCTTTGTCTCCCCGCTTGGGCGTTTCTGGTGCGGGCCGGAGCCCCGAGCCGGGTCGTGGAGCTACGGCCGGGCTCCATGGCGGCGCGGCGGGCTGGGGCGGCTCCCTGTCGTCCCTCCCTCCCCCCGTGGCGGGCGGCTAGGCGGGTGGCGTGCCTGTGCCCGGGTCGGCGGCGGCTCCTGCGCGGCCAGATCTGGCTCATGGCGGCGCGGGCTGCCGGTGGCCTCCTCTACCGTGGCCGCGGCTGTGGTGGTGGTGCGGGCTGGAGGTCGGAGTCGGCGGCTGCGGCGGCCTTTCCGGATCTGGCCTCTCGGCGGCGCGGGCCGCGATGGCTAGGGTTGCGGCCGGTGGCCCTGACCGAGGCCCCCTCGGCTGGTCGGGGTGGCAGCGCAGTGGCGGTGGTTTCGGTGGTGCGTGCCCGGCGGCTCCGGCGCTTGGAGCTCGCCGGGCGACGCGGATGGGCAGCGGCCGGGCATGGCTGCTGCTCCGGCCGTGGGCGGCGGCATGGGCAGGTCTCGGTGGCCTTCCGTTGTCGTGGCGGCTTCACGGTGGCTCGATGGATCTGTTCGCGGCAACGGTCGGCTCCTCCGGCGTCGGTTTGTCTGCGTTCGGACCGTCTCGTCCTTCACCCCATCTCCTCGTCGCCCGGGCGCTACTTCCATCAAAGGGCTGGCCCTCTCCCAGCTGCGGTCCACCGCTCGTCTCGCGCCCGTTGCCGCAGGACAGAGCTCATCTCGCGCACGATGCAGCTGGACCGAACTCGTCTCGCGCACGACGCAGCAGGACTGACCTCGTCCCCCTCTCGTCGCTGCAGGACCGAGCTCATCTCGCGCTTGGGGCAGCAGGATGGGTCGGTGGATGCCAGTTCTGGCCAACCTATTGGGTCTCGACGCTGGGGGTCGCCCATGGGCGCGAAAGGTGGGACCTTTCCGCTCGTCTCTTTCGTTGGGGTGCGGCGGGTCACGGGTGAGGTGGTGTCGAGGTCTTGGATGCTGGGGCGGCGGCCCTGGTGGTGGTGGTTGCACGGTGCTCTTGGAAAAAGCCCGTGCCTTGGTGCTGCCCGGTCATCATGGTCGTGTGGGCGGCGTGGTTGCCGGGGTGTGGCGTTTGGTGGCGGTGATTGTTGGCCGAGGTGAAAACCTGCTCTATCTTCGGACGGACCGGCGGCGGCGAAGATCGCTCCCTTCTTGAAGGCGTCGTCGCGGTTCTCATTGCCCGTCATGCGGCTCCGGAGGAAACTCTGATCCTTGGATCGGGCGGTGGCGGCGCTCCGGCGTCGTATCCTTCCTGAAGGCGCCACCTTGGAGCACATGGTTCGTCATATGTAGCTTCATATCTTCAGGGCGGTAGTGCTAGGAGTGGTGTTGCTGCGCTCAGCGCCTATATATCCTGTCTTGGGTGTGTGCGTGTGTTGCGGTGGCGTGGCGTGTCGTTGTACTGGATGCTTGTGGTTTGGTGCTTTATATATAAAATGGGGCGAAAGCCTTTTTCAGTAATCCAGCAGGACAGTGATGCAGCAGAGGTGTCACTCAAAACCGCAATACAGAGCACTTATTTTGCTGTCCATTGTGTGTGGCAGAACACCGAATGTGATGCAACACCATATATATACACACTGATTGCAGCTAGAATAGGATGATACCCGTCACTTGCTGAGGCCAAAAAAACATAAAGGAAATTCCTCAAGACTGCTCTAACAGTACCTGTGCAGCAACAAGTTTCCAGAGCCACCAACTACACAAAAAAGACCGGAAAAATGTTTATTAACTTCACAGTTGACAAACTTGGTGTTTCCTCTGTGAGTGATTCTTTGAAGTGCAGTAATTCAGTGCGAAAAAGAAACATGAAAGACAAACCGGTGTTTTAACAAGGAAATTGGGCTCAAAGTAGCATCAGCCGTTTTGAAGATCGCCAGATACCAGAGTATCATCAAGTACAACAATTAAGATTTCAATTTCAAACTTCAAAGGGCTACTAACAGAAATCTAAAACATTCAAGTGGAGCAGGCACATGAGATATCATCCTCACAGACTTATTTAATTTTTTTTTCTTTAGAAAAAAAGCATCACACAAAATTCAAACAAGCAGGATAGTACTCCAAGTTACATAACAGTTCTGCAACTTATGACTGAATCTTTGCCATCCCTCGTGCGCGCTTGCTCTTTGTGACTCAACAGGATGACAGGGCCGCACACCTTCATAACCCGGCTACGAGATCTCAGATGCTATCAGACCAATCTTGGATTTGGTCTTCTTGCCTGCCAATAAACTGAGGATTCAAAAGCAACCCTGCCTACCAAAATTATATACACATAGTTGTTGCTTCTATCACATCAGACATGGCAATATTGTGGCTACGGCAAGTCAACTTCTAGGCATCGAAATTTTGCTTATCTAGCGCACCGGAAATTCAGTTTTTTTCTATTACAGCAACAATTTTCCTTTCTAATGAAAGCTCACAATCATGCGCTAGAAAAATGAATATATGCTGTACTTTTTTCAAAATGTTTTGACACCTTAAAAACAGCTGGGAGAGGAGCCATTTGAGACTTTATATGAGTTTTTTATCATCTCATTGCATTAACCAAGATAATTGCTGGCCAAACAGCTGGTACAGTACTTCATGCCCTAATAGTACCTTGCAGAAAACAATTTCATTAGTCACCATCGCACAAGAGATAGCACAACAAGATCAGCATATATCACCTTCATAATTAGGAACCTTATGCCTGCCTGAATATTTGGAATCGGGCCTATCCAGCAATATTAGGTAAAATAGCATTTCAATGAACGGGAAAATCAGGAAAGACAAATTAGCGCTTCATCATCTGCTGTTAGATTTAGAATAATTCATTTGTAATTTCATATACTACATGTAGTGGGATCAAACCACGAACCTGTCCAGAGTATGCATCCTGCAGAGGCCGTCCCTCACATCCTGCTCAATGAGATTAGTTTTTCTAAGTTTCAAACTTTTTTTGCGATGACACGACTTTGAGACATGTGTCTCATGTAGTGGCCGAGCTGATCTCCTTGAAATTGGTCATGTTCAGAGATGTTGTGACGAGGTGAATACCACTATGAACGTCAGCAAGCACGGGAAAGAGGATAAACTAAGACACTGTGGTGCGGTGTCGAAATAGAGGCGTAGACCTCTGGAGGGGGTGGGTCTTGAGCCATACTTTTTTTAGCAATAGGGGTGTGATATTTTCTCCGTTGCAACGCACGGGCATGTTTCCTAGTTCTTATTTAAGGATGCACATGCACTGCCTTTACTTAACAGGATGCACACGTAAAGTCTGCTTTACTTAATGGTTGACTGGGACGTGTCCAATTCGGGATCAGTTTTCTAAACCTAGAGCTCTGCACGATACACGCACGGCACGACTAAATGCAGCACACTGCCGGTGTAATTGTCCTGTGACTTGAGAGAGTTAAGATTTGGATCAAAATTATGTGGTTATCTTTTTATCTGGTATGTAGAAGCCAACACACAAGAGCAGTCGGCACCTCAAAGCTAGATCAAGCCAATAGCAGCGGCAGTTCCAACATCAAAGAATAAGAATCCTCATCAAATCATGGCATAGCGACAATAGCATGGATCGAAGAAAGTTGTATCTTTGCCTCTGTGAATTAATGGCATAGCGACAGCCGATGGTGGCAGGCTCCACATGGCACCCTCGGCTTAGACACGAGCATTGGGAGATGCCCCAAGAACTGAAGATGGATGCTATATAGGTTAGTACCAGAGCAGCTAAAGAAGGGCCAAAAACATGAGTATGAAGGTGTTACCAAATACTAACAGAGTGGTGGACTCTAGTCCATAGCATGGTCCCTGCGATGGTATCTGACACAAATAATGGAATACTCAATTAGCAACCGAAATGTATACAGAGAACAAACTCTGGAGAAATTGTGGCACTGTGGCCCAAAAACCTGTATACAGAGAACAAACTCTGGATTGTTAACCCTTCAGCCAAGAACGGAACAGAGTATATGACTTTACCTTTCACAACTTGGCAGCTCGAGCCAAGCGCACCCGCACGGGTGAATATTCAAGCCTTAACTTTCATTCCCTTGACTGCTAGCGTATCTGCCTTCGGTTTAACTTTGAACTCCTTCGCAACTTTATATTTCCACAACATGATTGGTGCAAAAGTACATAACTAAAAAGTATCACCAAAAACTCTAACTGTTCTTCCAGCCCAACGTTTACAACAGGGGCCAACTGTAAAAGATATTCTACTGCATGAAGAACGGGATTACAAAGTTATCCATCTTCTCTTTTCTCTCAAGCTCGTCCTTCTCGGCAATCTGCTTCAGCGTAGTCCACCCTTTTCTTGCCCGCTTCCTTGAACTGCCAGCTGGCTGAGTAGAATCACCTCGTGCAGATCTGGTATTCGAAGCTGACTTGCTACAATTTCCAGGGCCCTTGCCAGCAACTGAAGCACAATTCTGCGCTTTGCTGTTCAGTCTACTTCTAGTCTTCAATGCTTCTGCTGAAGCTACTTCCGCCAGTTTGTTCTTCTGAGGAGTAGCAAAGTTTGACCCAGCTAGAAATTCTGCTTGAGAAGTGACATCATGTTCACATGTAGTAGAATTTTTAGAAGCCGCAGGCTGAATTCCATTCACACATTTATCATTTGCGCTTTCTACTTCGATTTGCTGCAGGATGTCTTTGTGTGCAGCCGCTAACTGACCATGATCCACCATTGAGAAAACTGCCCCTTTCTCCATTTTATAATTTTCAGGAAGATTAGATTTAGGCCCATTACCTTGTTTATCCTTTTCAAGAGTGGATATTTTCAACCTGGATGATTCCAGTTGCGAGGCTGCTGTCACAGAATGCCCGATCCCCTTTTTAGTAGTTACTGTTGGCACGTTCATATGTTCTGCTTTCAACATTGTGCTAACAGGCTTTCTTGATGATAACAGTCCCTTCGAGAGAAGTCCACATAACCCCCCGATGTTTCACAAACGGGCCAATTTACCCCCGGAAGTCTAAAACCGGGTACTTAACCCCCTGAGCTTTTCTAAACCATGTGAATCACCCCCTAATCCCGATTAGAGTGGTTTTGCAGGTGGTTTTGTTGATGTGGCAAGGTTGCGGGTACCACGGCAACTCGGCACAGTTCCTCTCTTCCCCTCCCATCCCTATGCCATGGCCGTGTATATGGCGTCGCTCACGTCCTCCCGCCCAAACCACTCGTTGAACGACACAGACCACAGAGGTCCCGTGAGAACAATGCAGCGTTGAGGTACTTGATGGAAAGCAGCACCAGCCAGCAGCCGGCTGTATTTTGGCTTTGATGCAATCTCGGCTTGCCATCGCGTCCCTTGTGCGCCGTAGTTGCCTTAGTGTCGCTCTCGCCGGCCGCGTCCGCTTCTTCCTCCGTCGACAACAACTCACCTGTGCCGCCTGCGGCTTCCAACAGATGACGACGTCCACTGTTAGAGCTAATGATGATTAGGTTAAGTCCTATAAGGCTCAGACATTGCAGCACGTACTTCTTGTGTTTACGTCAGGGCTTGTCCTGGAATCAGTCCAGCAGGTCTGTACGTGCGTGTTGCATCCGAAGGACCTCGCGTTGTAGCCGAGAGAAATTACGTGCGCCTCGCGAGTGACGATCTGTTTCCTCGCCGCTTCCTGCGCCAGTGACATGCTCGCCGACGGCCTCGACCGCCCAACCAGTCTGCCTCGGAGAGCTTGAGTACGAGGCACTACCGTACTGGTCACGGACGGCGGTCGGCAAGGCCAGAACTTGCGTCCGTTGGCAGGTTGCTTGTGCATTGCGGCGCAGCCGCCGCATCCACGGAGGAGGTGCTCGACGGCGCAGACGGCCACGAACCCCAGCGGGCATGCTGGCCTCGTGCTGCCTGGCAATAGAGCAACCCCGGGAGGCTCATCACCGATAAGGTCACAGAGTTAGAAGAATGGAACTCGGCGAGCTGCGTGGCAATGTCAGGCATAGATGCGATGCGTCCCAGGTGGTGAGACACTCGCTCGTGCTCAGATGAGAATGGACGAGGCCGGGTGCAGGTTAAGAACGAGGTGCACCGTGCCACATCAGCAAAACTGCCTGCAAAACCACTCTAATCAGGCTTAAGGGGTGATTCACATGGTTTTGGAAAATTTAGGGGGTTAAATACCCGGTTTTAGACCTCAGGGGGTAAACTAGTCGGTTTGTGAAATCCTGGGGGGTTATTTGGACTTCTTTCCAGTCCCTTCACGATACCCTTTCCACTACCCCGTATCAGGTTTTGGTCTCCACAGAAATGGCATGCATAGACAACACTGTTTTGGCCAGGATTTGACTTCTTGCGCCGCTTTGCTTTCTTTTTGTTGTTCTTTATGCGGATTGTGCAGTTGAAGCCTGGATGTAAGATTGATTCACATCTGCAATATTTGAATAATTTTTCTTCAGAGGTCCATTAAGGCTTATTGATACGGACACAGGTACAAAAATAGAAAAAAAAATGCAGCACAACTAACAAACAGCATTCACCACGTACATAATCTATAAATGTAGAAGAATATCGTAGACCCTTCAACCTGGCCGCTGATAAACTTAGTGTAGATTGGAGATGTTCTTTACAGAGTTGGTGCTAGTGTTGTGAGTTCATATATTCTGAAGGACCTTTTTTGCAAACTTGCCAACTGAAAGGAGTCTGAAAATGTACTGGTGTGAGCTAAACAGATAAGTCCAAATATTCCTCACACACAAAAGTTTTTATCAGCATTACTACAAACTGTAAGGCGCATGAAAATAAATTGATACATGCATACATACATAGCACTATAACATATCTCAAAGGCTAAGCAAGACAGACAAACTGTGGGGTAATTTGCTCTAAGGTAGTAAACTCATATGTTGACAGTACAAAGATCCAGAACAATCAGCTAAGGTGCATTACGGTAAAGAACCAATGTAACCTGCAAAATGTTGGTGCTGCAAAATGGACGACCAATAACCTTCCCATGTAAAAGTGAAAACAAAATTGAGGTACATCTAATTCGCTCAGTAATTGTGCTGCCCACGTGAACCAAAGATCAAAACTCGGATAATAAGCCTGAAGCCTTCCCATTTTACTCCAATCAAAGATTATCAGCAACAGGCCAACAATACAACCATCATATCAACCTAGAAAACATCTACCATATTGCTCTGGAAAGCCCATATAGACATGCTACTTTGCTAGAACAAGTATTTTTCCGGAAACAATGTAATGCTAGTATGATACACATGTCAAACACAAATAATTACAACTCCAATCAAATATTATCAGAAACAAGTCAAAAATACAACCATCATGTCAACCTAACAGACAAAACATGCGTATTGCTCTGGAAAGCTCATATAGGCATGCTACTTTGCTGGAACAAGCATTTGTCTGAAAACAATGTAATGCTAGTATGCTTGCTACATATGTCAAACACAGATAAATTATAACAGAAGTTAAAATGCGAAGATAATAGTCAGATTGATACGGTCAAATACTAGACAAATGAATGCAGAATTTTTAAGGCCACACAGTAAGCTCTAACTCTCACTTCTGGCAAAGGAAGGTGGAAGCTCACTACCGGAACAGGGTGCTACCCCGACGGCCAAAACAATGCCGACGGCCACCGTCGGGTTCCTCGAAGATATGCCGACAGTCTGGTCCTGGCCGTCGGCATATCCAGGCCGTCGGGTTAGACGGAGCTAAGACGACGGCACCCGTCGGCATAGAACGGCCGTCGACCTATCTGCAAGTACGCCGACAGCTGCCGTCGGCTTACAAGGGCTGTCGGCATAGTCGTGGTCCCGGCGACCCCGCTGTTGACGGGCGGCTAACGTCGTCAGAGCTATGCCGACGGCCGAGGCGGGGGGCCGTCGGCATAGGTCCGCACGCCACGTCACTGATCCGGGCCGCACCGTCCAAAACATATGCCGACGGCTGCCGTCGGCATACCTGCCACATCAGCGATCCGCGGCACGCCGCCCGCCGCCTAAAACCTGGCCGTCTCTATGCCGACGGCATAGGTAGACTTTTTTTTCATATATATTTTTTAAGCTTTTTTATGTATTATTATATCAACTAACATGTAGCATGTTAAATATAAACATACATATGAATATATATGTAGTTTGTATTTTTTTTCATATATTATGAATATATATATATATATAGTTTGTATTTTTTTTGAGCACGTTAATAATGTGCGGTCATGTTCTTTTGAATATAGATCATTATATTTTATTAAAATCAAAAACAGCTATGCCGACAAAAGTTTTGTGGCGGTTGCAAACGCCCGACACCCGTCTCCAGAGTGTGACCCCCCTCACGTCCGCGGTGTGCCCCCCTCATGGACGGTGCCGGCACCTGGAGGGGGGAAGCGGACGCGTCGGGTCTACACGGTGGATGTAGCAGTGGGTTTGGCCCGGATGTTGCTCTTGGGTGTCCCTACGGGCGACCTGACACAACCGGGTGCAGAGGTCCACTGGTCAAAGCCCGTCCGTGGGAAGTCAAAAGGCTAGATCTCGTGGTCAACCGCTTCACGGTTAGGCGGGACGGGGGCCCTGGGGGTGAGCAATGCCACCGGAGCATCGTACCGGACCCTCATACAAGGTGTTGTGGCATG